CGATTCGGGCACAGGGCCAACGAAAACAGCACATCACAAGTCATCAAAACTCACGCACTCTGCGCTTCCCCACTGGGAGAGCCATAGCGCAATTTGCGAACGGTTGCGGACGGTTGCACAACATCCGGCGAACAAGGCTTCACCCCCAGACCCCCAGGATGAAACGAGAACCCTATGCTACGCATTTGGGAAAAACGTCCCTCCCCCAGCAGCCAGGCACATTTGTTGAGGGGACTCTGTGGAGGCCCGCGTTGCTCCGTGAAGTCTTTGTTGTTTCATTCAAACGCATCTATATATATATCGATCTACTTATAAGAAATGATGGCATTGATGATTCTAGGATAAACAGTGTTATGCTTCTTATGCCAGCTATTGCATGCCACCAGTTTGCAGCTGGGGTCTTGAGTCACGCAAGGGGGGGTGTCGTGGCAGAGAATATTGCTTTAAAGTGACCGAGCTCCATGTAATGTCAATCTCTTATTCATCCTTTCAAATTTTTGAAGTATTGGCTGCATTTAGGAATATGTACGTGCAATAATATTTTCCTAATTCTTTTGTGATTCATTCTTTTTGCATTCTCTGCAATTTCCTTCCCGTTTCCCTTCCAAGTTCTTTCCATTTCTTCAATGTCATTTCCACTTTTTCCAAATTCTTGGAAAGGCTTTTGATGTATTTCCTAATCTGCATTTCCAGTTCTTGCATTTTTTGCACGTTCCTTTCCGTTCCATTCAAACAGGATCTAAGCACTTCCCAGCTTTGAGGGCCGACATGAATAAACCCTACGTTAAAGATGCTGGTGGTGGTCGTGATGGTGCTTTCCGCGCATTGCGCTCACATGCTGAGGCTGCTGCCCACCTTTTAAAGGAAACAGGTGATATCTTGCCTGGTTCAAATAAGAACACTGAGGTCACGGCTGTAGGTGAGCAGTGTGAGGGTAATTGTCGGCACAACATACTTTGCTCCGACTACCACTTACTTGCAGAATTACGTGACTGCATGGAATGCGAAGGCATTTGCAGACACGCACAGCCACATTGGTTCGCACAGATTCACAGCACACGAATGGAGGTTTTCCCGCCTAAATCAAGAAGGGCATTCGCGCCTGCTAAGGTTTGCGGTTTGTTCGGCCACGGGCTCAGAGTGCTTGCAGATATCAGCCGTCTGTTCCTGTACAGCGCGGAGCTTGGAGGATTTCCAGCACCCAGATCTCCGAGCCAGCCGATTCGCTGCAGGATGGGCTCCGAAATCGGCACAATGGGCCATTGCTGGTGCTTGCCTGTCACTGCGTTTGCTGTCATTTTGAGGAGAAGCTCTTGAATGGCGTTATCACTTCATACACAGAATACAGGCGCCCATTCCACAATGTCACGTATTTGTGCTGACGGAAGCTGAGGCTACCTTTATTTGGAATGCCTACCTTTGCAGGTTTCTCGATGGCACCTCCACCACTTGCAAGCTGCAACCAGTGCTTTGTGTGAGCATGTAATTCAAGCATATGGTGTTGCGGGCCCTCGCTGGCCATCATGCCAAGGCTTTCCTTTCTATCACACTTATGCTGTGCTGGAGGTTCCGTTGTGCTGACGTTTTTGATGGTAGTTCAATCAGTGAGGGCAACTTGAAGTCGGCTTCGTACATTTTCCCGCAGAGACCCCTCATGTTTCATCCTTTGTGGCGACAGGTTGATGACGGTGATTTCCAAATCCTCCTTGAGCGGGCGCGCCCGGCAGAACACATTGCTGCATGCGTGTGGACCTTGTTCTTTTTCCGCCAATTGATGTCATGAATGACATTTGTTTGGTTCCTATCCTGACAACGCCAGTTGGGCGACAACATGGAGATGATGGTTGGAGAAGGCAGGTTGCTGTTTGGCTGGGCATGGTCTTCTCGGCACTTGAAGTTTTGTTGTCTTACTTTTGCGACGTTGATACAAACGGGCAAAGCATACATTGCCTCGCAGTCATACGAGCTCAACATTGGTGCGCGCATTGCAGGATTTGTGTGCCGAGAGCTGATCAATGAGTTCAGGTACTGGAGCGTTGGATGCGCACGTACACACATGGAAACAGTTTCACGTTTGGGCTTCAACATGTTTACGTGGCTGGGGTGGGCTGAGACTAAACACCCTCCTTGCCACTTAGCGCTGTTGACACAGGTCCAATGGACAAGCTCGTGTAATGACAAAGCAGCTTGGCTGGAATAGAGATGTTGATCGATGGGACATGACATGTGCTGAGGGTCTCTGCTGAACTTACCAGAAAGCTGCAGAACAAGGCCTGCTTTGCATTCTTTGCAACGGCATCCTGCAATCAATGCAATTCAGGATCTGAAAGTAGCAGTTGTGGTATTGAGAGGTCAGTGTTCGGTCTTTGATCACCTGGATGGGCTCGTCATTGGCAAGGCCTTCACTTGTAATTGTGTTGCACCTCTTCACTTTGCGAGCTTGCCCAGCCGCTGGAACGAATATGGCCTGTTCTTCAACAACTGCCAACACTTCCAGGCACGCATTGCGGACTGGGGTGAGCTGCATAGGTGGCAGACATGTTGGACAGGTTGAGCTTGAGATCTTTCTGTTTGACAAGCCACTGCCTTACGTCCTTACGCATCCAAGTCTTTGTCAGTCTTGCCCCGTATGCCCTACCTGAGGTCGCGAGACTTGGAGCCACCTCGTGCCAGGGACTTTGCTTGAGCGCTTGAGCGATAGGACGTGATAATTGGGCACACAAACCACCCCGGCAAATAGAATGCATGGAAGCTACACAGTGGTTGCAAATGGGGCATATCGCAATTTTCCCGTGGAATGGTTTGTGGTTAGTAGTGAGCAGAACCCATTTTGGCCATTGACATAATTTGGCTTGGCTGAACAACGCATGTTGACAAAACTCATACAGCAAGTTAATCTTGGAATGCCAAGGCGCAGGGCATTTGCAAAGATAGGCAACTTGCTATGGATTCGCTGAAAGAGGCCGGTTTTGTCGTGTTTCCGCGCCTCTCTTGTAACGTCACGCCAGGATGGACTTCGCTTGAAATACTTTCCCAAACTGATGCGGGATGCCTGGTGCTTAGCCAGCTTGTGCTCTATTGCTCAGCGGCGCACCGCAACAAATTTAATGTTTCTAAGATACTGCACTTGGACGCGCGCTTCTTGCTTGACACATCGTTTGTATCTTCTCTTGGTGTCAACTTTGTTACTCATGCACGTTCTTGTACACATTTACACATTCACTTGGCCAATGTAAGGGGTAAAATGACTCAACCAAGTGATGACTGACATGTTTAGCGATGACTGATGTGTTTAGTGGAGTAGCTCAAAACTCCTGCAATCTGCGAGGATGCGGACTTGGTCTTGGTAGCTGTCCAACAAAACGGCCAAGCTCTAGCATATGCCAGCAAGAAGATGCAGGAGAATGTGCAGGCGCTTTTTTGTTGTTGTTGTGTTGTGTGTGTGTGTGTGGTTGGGGGTGTGGGTGCATGCATGAGCGGCCAACAGATGTGGGTGCGCGTGCGTGTCTGTGTGTGTGTGTGTTTTGTCCTCTAAATCCCTTGTTTTGTTTGTGCTTCTTGAGTCACGAAACGAAAGGTCGTCATTGCCGCTGCCGTGCAATCGCCCAGCGCTCTGCAGTGCCTCCCTTAGAATGTGCGCAGAATCGGTTTCGAAAGTATCGGAGCAAAGCAGAATCCCAGAGCATTAATCACAGCAGGGTATCGCCCAGGTATGCGTCCCCTGATCTTCGGAACAATCGCAGTGTGGCAATGCGTTTGGTGCCAGCCTGAGGTTTGCTTGATTTTGCCATGTGAGCATGCTTCAGTGGCACAAAGCAATGTTTGCTTTGTTCAAAGGTCACACACAATGGAATGACTCTTGCTTTCCTTCCTGACCAACTTCGCCGTGATCGCGATATTTACATGGCGGTCTGGGGCCAAAGCATGGCTTGATTCTTTTTGCTTCTACCTCTTTTTGTCGGAGTGGGTCTGCTTTCCTGTACAGGAAACATAGACTCCAGATTCCTTTCCCCTGTTTTACACTATCCGCAACGCATCAAAGCAGTACGGCTATCAGCAGTGTGCATATTAATATAGCAACCAGCATTCGTGAGGCCATTGCAGAGTCATGTGCTGCCGCACGATATATTCCAGCTGACCTCCGTGCCGATTGGCAGGCCAGTGTGCCAGTGTGAAGCGCACATGAGCGAGTGGCAGTTACCAGGTCCTGCTGCAACTTGCCTCCAAAGACATCAGCTCCGTGCAGTATCTCTTTTGACCATTTGGCCCATGGGATGGCCAAGATGCTTCATGCGACAAGGCAGAAGCTCTTATCAATTGGACAACCAGCTGCTTTAAGACTAATACAGTCATAAGGCAGCTGTTGCGCTTTGTACCACGTCGCAAGAGATGCAGTCCTCCCCCTGGAACAGAAACTGCGATGCCCGTGAAGGAGCGGCAAACTCGGGTGCGATGAACGGATACGACGTGATGCAAAGCTTATGTAGGATATTAAGACCCCAACTGTTTCGGTGTGATCAGCCAAAGGTGCTGTGGGAAGATAGATCCGATTCCAGGCCCTGAACCCGCAATTTGCAGGAGCCGTTGCGCTGGATGCCGAAAGGCTTCAAGTCGGGACAGGCCTATCTTAGAATTCGCAGGCATAGACTTTCTCGCCTTGCATGGCTAATGTGTGCGTCAGAGGACTGCAGTGGTACCATTTGAAAAATATGCGTGCCCAAGCTTGGTGTATGTTCAGGCTACGGTCAAACATGCCTTGACACAGCATGGGTTGTGCATTCGCTCACTACATGAGGCTTCGAACAACCACATTCAGCTTCTTTGTTAGATGCATAGGTGAGAGGATTGGGTGCACAATGACAACGTGGTAGTGGCACCAGGTTTGGAACATACTTGCCCCAACACATCCGTGCTGGATTAATATGTCGCGCGTGTAGACAATGTCAATCTCTTCCGTGACACTCACTTGATGCAGCACCAGGCAACATGTCCACAGCTCTAAAGGGCTAGGTGCTTGCAAGATTTGATGGACGGGCCGTCTGAGCAATGACTATACATGCGCAGGCTGGGCACGGTGCATGTTGTGCCACACCTTGTCTCCTCGCTTGTCAATCCACAGGCACCAGTGCCGCAGTGGCAGCCGTTGCCCAGTGCTCAGTTGTGCTGCAGAAAGGTGCTACAGGATTGATTGGACTGATTCATGCTTGGGACGGTGAATTAGTTGCCTCCGCTGGTAGTTGGCACGGGCCCTTGAGTTGCCGGGAAGACCTCTCCGAATGTGGGATGTTTGCTTTGCTGTTTTCGATGCATTCTGCTTGTAATGTGTTGATAAATCCTACCTGCTCTGAGAGCGGGAAGTTGACCCGCAAGCCACCGACACCAGTGTTGTTTTAGAGGCAACATAGGGAGCAAAGGGAAGGGGAAGCGCCATTTGCAACACACACACACACATTGTATCGCTGCAGATTGTTTCATGTTAAACAAACTTCTTCGAAGAGTCCTGAAGCAAAGGGTGTCTTGAAGGAGTTTGTACACACACGGAACCAATGCAGATCGCCGATTTCTGGGAGTGGTGCAAAGAAGGGTAGAAGGGTGCGAGTTGAGTACCGTGCAAGGACATGTTTGAAGTGGCACCGAACCGTTTGCGTGATGATACATGCGTACATTAGAACAGGTCCTCATTTGGCAAACCACTGCGAAATCAACACATTTTAGCACACAACGACACGTGCCGGGGCTGGGCATTCGAGACGGACAAGGCACAGCGGGATGTTCCCCACAGCACTCTGTGCGCCCCTTGCTGTTACCGAACTCCAGCCTTTCCCCTCCGTTCCGCCCTTCCTGCTCTGGCACCTTCAGGGTCACATCACGCCACATCCAACGTACCACACCACACACCCACCACACTCCACACCCCACACGCCACACGCCACACGCCACACACACACACACCACACACCACACACCACACACCACACACCACACACCACACACCACACACCACACACCACACACCACACACCACACACCACACATGACACATGACACATGACACACCCCACACCACGCAGAAGATACACCAGACACCCACACGCCGCACTCCACACCCCGCACACCGCCAATAGTGAAATGTCAATGCTAGGAGGCTACAAAAAAACACGCACCAAGGATCTGAGAAACTCAAAAAGGGCTTTGCCACCACACCACGCCACACACCTCGCCGCGCACTACACATCTCGCTGCCTCGCTTTGAGGCTCTCTCGCTTTGTCGCTTTCCTTGCTCTTGCTGAGTCGTACCCTTGCCGAAAGGCCTCCAAAACATGGCTTTAGTTGAGTTTAAGCACGTGTAAACTGTGTTGGGCCCGAACTGTGTGACTTTTGAGAATGCATTGGAAGCACAACTTGTCTGAAGTTGTGGTGTGGTGTGGTGAGGAATGATGTGTGTGTGTGAGAACCTTCCTAGTTCAGGAAGATGGGCTCACTACCCATTGTTGCTTTTTAAGCAGGGCGACTGGAGCCGATTTGCCTATCCAGTCCAACAAAGCTATGGTTTCGGTGGATGAGTGGTCTGATCAACCACTTGTACCTGCTTGGAACTGAGCAATTTCATTGCTCGCGTGTCAGCTTGACTTCTCGTGTATATAGTTTTTCGGCTTGACCTCCATGTCATGTTTCAACGGCTCCCTCAACGTTCAGCTGCTCGGCGCGCGTCTGGTGTGTCCTTGCTTGCCTCCCTCAGGGAGCGTGTTCTTCGTCCGAGCACACGCCGGCCTCCGGCCAGGCCGCGCACCAGCTGTGCTCCAGGAGTGCGTTGATTGGCCGCCAACCCCACGAGTCTAGAATTGTGGGCAACTGCCGGAAGTGTCAGCTGAGGGAAGGGCTCAACCCCTCCCAGGCCGTGGTTACCCCGTCAAGTCCTACTCAGACTGCGCTTTGGTTGTTCAGATTCAAGTTCTCTTGTTTGTGCGCCCGCAAGGCAGCGTGCTAGGTCTCTCTGGCTCCAGCGCAGACTCCCGTCCTTGCATCCTGCTGCCCGTTGCTTCACTTTCGCACGCGCGTGTGCTTTTGATAATTTGTCTTATCATGCAGTATTGCGTTGCACTTGCAGGGCCCGTGTTCTTGTCTTGGTTTTGGCCTCTGCTTTGGAAGCTGTAAGGCCCTTCTGCGACCTTGCCAAGGGAAGCCATGCGTTGGTTGACCGACATGTTTCGCTTTCAGGCGGACATGCACAAAGCTTGACTGTACATACCTGTACATATGCGCACATTGCTGCACATATCTGTACTTACTTGTGCATACTTGTACAAACTTGGACATACCTGTACGTACTTGTGTATACACGCGCGCAAACCTATACACATCTGTTCATACTTGTACATACTCGTACATACTTGAACGGACCTGTACGTACCTGTTTATATTCGTACATAGATGTACATATCTGTGCATACTTGTACAAGCTTGTACATACCTGTACATACTCGTACATGCTGTACATTTCTGGACATAGTTGAACAAACTTGCACATGCCGGTACATACTTGTACATACGTATACATAGCTGCCCTCTGAGCGCTGTGTGAACCTTCCTAGTCCGCGGAAGACGGGCTCACTACCCATTTTACTTTTTAATCAGGAAAACTGGAGTTTCGGCGGACGAGTGGTTTGATCAACCACTTGTACCCGCTTCGAACTGAGCAATTTCATTGCTCGCGTGTCAGCTTGACTTCTCGTGTGTGCAGTTCTTCGGATTGAAATCCATGTCATGTTTTAACGGCTCCCTCAAGGTTCAGCTGATCGGTGCGCGTCTGAAAGCGTGTGAGGGCGGTTGGGGGTGGCGGTGGCAGTGGCAGCAGCCGTGGTGGTGGGGTGGTGGTGGTGGCAGCGATGGCGGCGGCAGCGGTGGTGGTGTGGGTGTGGTGTGGTTGGTGTGGCGTGGTGTGGTTCGGTGTGGCGTGGCGGGCCATTCTGTGGTGTGGTGTGCCGAGGCAAGCTTGGACTCCTCTTCCGGGAGAGTCATGGTGCTTCCGGCTGGTTATTGTTGTCGTCGTCGTCGTTGTTGTCGTTGTCGTTGTCGTTGTTGTTGTTCTTGTTCTGGTTCTGGTTCTGGCTCTGGCTCTGGCTCTGGCTCTGGCTCTGGCTCTGGCTCTTGCTCTTGCTCTTGCTCTTGCTCGTGCTCTTGCTCTTGCTCTTGCTCTTGGTCTTGCTCTTGCTCTTGCTCTTTCTCTTGCCCTTGCTCTTGCTCTTGCTCTTGCTCTTGCTCTTGCTCTTGCTCTTGCTCTTGCTCTCGCTCTCGCTCTCGCTCTCGCTCTCGCTCTCGCTCTCGCTCTCGCTCTCGCTCTCGCTCTCGCTCTCGCTCTCGCTCTCGCTCTCGCTCTCGCTCGTGCTCGTGCTCGTGCTCTTGCTCTTGCTCTTGCTCTTGCTCTTGCTCTTGCTCTTGCTCTTGCTCTTGCTCTTGCTCTTGCTCTTGCTCTGGCTCTGGCTCTCGCTCTCGCTGTCGCTCTCGCTCTCGCTCTCGCTCTCGCTCTCGCTCTCGCTCTCGCTCTCGCTCTTGCTCTTGCTCGTGCTCGTGCTCGTGCTCGTGCTCGTGCTCTTGCTTGTGCTCGTGCTCGTTTTCGTGTTCTTGTTTTTGTTCTTCTTCTTCTTCTTGTTCTTGTTCTTGTTCTTGTTCTTGTTATGGTCGTCGTTGCCATTTGCTTCCGAGCGCAAACAGAAACAGTTGCGAATTTGTGATTTATTTGGTACTTTGGGGTTGCCAGGTTGGCCAAGCCGTTGCAGTCTCTTGGTCTTGCTGATATTTTTGGTGCAGGGCTGAGGAAGCGAGCGTGGCGCATGTGAATTTGCTGAACGCTTTGCGAGAATCGCCTCAGGTCAAGAGGACAGCTGACCTTCGTTGATCCCATGCTTGCTAACTTGTGAAGCGAGCAACCAGGACCGTCTCCCTTCCAAACGCCTGAGGCGCGGGAGAGGACACGTGTGTGTGTGTGTGTGTTTGCCCGAGTGCAGAGCGCTGGCAGGGAATGGTCAGAAGTCACCGCAAAGCGTCGCCGAACAGGGTCGTGGCATTGTCCTCCGTTGGCCTGCCATGTTTGATTTCAGCCGGGCAGCTGCGTGTATGTTTGGCATGTTTTCCTCGCACTAGATTGCATTCACTTCAGGCTTGTGTCTCCAAGAGCAGATACGGCTGGCAGCAACTCAGCGGGCAATGTAGTCTGTCAAATCATTGTAGTTTTTTCCATGCAATTTGTCAAATTTGTCAGTCCATCGCTTTGCCCAGGGTCTTTGCTCGCAAAGAGGAGGGACTCAGAAGCGAGTCAAAAGCTCAGTAAGGAGTACCCCGGAGCCGTTGAAGCCAGAGCAAAATGGGCCCACCTGTTTATGTAAGAAGAACCAGTGCTCAATGTGCAGCGTTCACAGTCGCACCCAGCGTTTGAAGTCCAATGTATGTATATACATATATGCTACCCCCCCCCAGGTACCCAGGTTTGGGCTTGGTTCAGATGTGCCTTGACCGTGGAAGCAGGCAGGAAGAACAGCTCAGATTTGCACACTGGGAGACCAGAGGAAGGAGGTTTGCATCATTGAAGAAAGACGCCTTGGACCTGGCCCATGCCCTTTTTCAATGGCTCTTCCACACAAAATTCAATTCACATATCTTCCCACACAAACCATGCCTTCTTTCAAAGACTCTTCCACAGAAAATTCACACATCCTCTCACCCAACAAATGTCTTTTTACATGTCTTCTTTCAATGAAACAAAGGCAGCGTATGTGAAAGAGTTGCCACGGAAAGGGAACCCTGTGTAGAATAAAGCCAGGCTATGGCTGGGACAGTTCTTTTTTTACACACATGGTGGTTTTACACGATATTTGTTTTCTTTTGCTGTACTTTTCTGAATCACTGTATCCCTGACTCTTCCACAAAGACTCACATATCATCTCTCACACAACACATGTCTTTTCAATAACTCTTCTCTACAGAAAATTCACATATCCTCTCACCCAGAACATGTCTTCTTTCACAAAGGTTCACATATCCTCTCACCAACACATGCCTTTTTTCAAAGGCTCTTCCACATAAAACTCACATATCTTCCCACACAAACCATGCCTTCTTTCAAAGACTCTTCCACAGAATATTCGCATATAATCTCACACAAAGCATGTCTTTTCAATAACTCTTGTCTACAAGCAACTCTTTCATCCTCTCACCCAAAACATGTCTTTTTCCCGCCTTCGATCACAAAGGTTCATCCTCTCACCAAAACATGCCTTTCTTCAAAGGCTCTTCCACAGAAAGTTCACATATCTTCCCACACAAACCATGCCTTCTTTCAAAGACTCTTCCACAGAAAATTCACACATCCTCTCACCCAACAAATGTCTTTTTACATGTCTTCTTTCAATGAAACAGAGTCAGCGTATGTGAAAGACCTGCCACGGAAAGGGAACCCTGTGTAGACTAAAACCAGGCTATGGCTGGGACAGTTTTTGTTACATACATGGTGGTTTTACACGATATTTACTGTCTTTTGCTGTACTTTTCTGAATCACTGTAACCCTGACTCTTCCACAAAGACTCACATATCATCTCTCACTCTCACCCAGAACATGTCTTCTTTCACAAAGGTTCACATATCCTCTCACCAACACATGCCTTTTTTCGAAGGCTCTTCCACATAAAGCTCACATATCTTCCCACACAAGCCATGCCTTCTTTCAAAGACTCTTCCACAGAATATTCACATATAATCTCACACAAAGCATGTCTTCTCAATAACTCTTGTCTACAAGCAATTCTTTCATCCTCTTACCAAAAACATGTCTTTTTCCCGCCTTCGATCACAAAGGTTCATCCTCTCACCAAAACATGCCTTTCTTCAAAGGCTCTTCCACAGAAAGTTCACATATCTTCCCACACAAACCATGCCTTCTTTCAAAGACTCCTCCACAGAAAATTTCACACATCCTCTCACCCAACACATGTCTTTTTTCATGTCTTCTTTCAATGAAACAAAGGCAGCATATGTGAAAGAGTTGCCAAGGAAAGTGAACCCTGTGTAGAATAAAGCCAGGCTATGGCTGGGACAGTTTTTGTTACACACATGGTGGTTTTACACGATGTTTATTTTCTTTTGCTGTACTCTTATGAATCACTGTAACCCTGACTCTTCCACAAAGACCCACATATCATCTCACAAAACAAGTCTTTTTCAATAACTCTTCTCTACAGAAAATTCCCTATCACCCAGAACATGCCTTCTTTGACAAAGGTTCACATATCCTCTCATCATGCTCCGCAAATGTTGCGCAACATTTGGAATTTGTTGCGCAACATTTCCCTGGACAAAAAAACCAAAACCAAACAACCAAAAAACCAAAAAACCAAATGGTGGGGGCTAGGATGTTTTTGTGTTTTTGTTTTTGGTTTTTTGGTCCACAAAATGGCCTTGCAGAAAATGCATGAGTTTAAACAAATACACTGTACATATCAATGGTTTTGATACATGATGCAACAACACCTGGGTACTGGGGGGGGGGGTACCACACACACATATATATATATATATATATGTTTCACTTAGGATCAGCTTCTCAGCTGGTCGATGCAGGCACTGTCAGTTGCACTGCGCACCATCGGGGATGACATGTGAGTCTGTGAGGTTCCAAGAAGCCTGCCCATTCTGATGCAAAGAAAGCTGTCGCTGGATCTCTCAGCAAAGCCTCTGATCAGAGTGACTCTGAGGAGTCCAATGATACGGGAAGTGATGGCGAAGCTGAAGCTGACGGCCAAACCGTCGGTGGCAAGGCCCAAGATGATGCCATCGAGGTGAAGGATGCAGAAACCCTTTGGCGGGTGAACATCGAGGCTGTTTACAGGCGAAAGAATCCGCGAGCCTGGCAAAGTTGTTGCTGGCTTTTCAAGAGCGCTGTGCAGTCGAAGAGTGTGAAGCTCGGGCCGCTCTTGCCAGGAAGCTTCTTTCCAAAGTTTCAGAGTTGATTGCCAAATACAAGGCCACATTGAAAGAATTGGCCCTGGCTAAAGACGAGTTGATGGAGTTTCAGCTCTATAATTTGGCAGGCCAATGGGACCCCGCTCTCGCACTTGTATGCAAAAGTGTCACACTTAGTTGAGATTTTGCTTGCACCCATATTACGGCCTGGTACGTATTTGTTGGCTGAGGTGTGCCGCACGTATGAGCTTGATCCAAAGGCAAGAATGCATAGCTTCAGCTCCACCGTCATAAAGGAATCTGCACGCAAGGTGATGTGGGCGACACGTTCAGAGGCAGAAGAGGACGAAGGTGATGCTGTGGAGGTCTTAGTTCCCATACTGGCGTACAGCGCACAGGCAATCAAAAGCTTCGCAACCCTTTGAACTGGCAAGTCAGCACTTGTCAACCGAGAGGACCTTGCTGAGAGTTGAACAATGAGAGCAATGCAGCAACGCCCTCAACACATTCCTTTCCACAGCAAAAACAACTGGAGAAAATGCAATGT